AGAAGAAGAAGAAGAAGAAGAAGAAGAAGAAGAAGAAGAAGAAGAAGAAGAAGAAGAAGAAGAAGAAGAAGAAGAAGAAGAAGAAGAAGAAGAAGTGCTGAGAACTATGGAGGCAAGGGTTATGTCTGCTTTGACTCTATTTGTTGTATCACATTGCATTGCAAGCTTTTGAGTTGTCTACTCCAACGCCACTCTAAACAATATTAAAATAATATGATTTCAGCTAGCTCAGTCGGGCTGAGTTCAAACCAGAAATAATCTTCTAATCTCCCTAATAAGAAGAACTACATCATGCATCCTTAGGTCATGAATATACCCTATCCTTTTGCGCAAGATCTAGGAGAGGAAAAGTGAACAAAAAAGCAAGCCAGGCATTTTGGGTGGGGGGGCGAGGGGCTAGAAATTGTAAGGCATAAAGTGGACACATTAAATATAAACGTATAAAGGATCCCCATTGCTCCTTAAAACCTCCCAACTCTCAGCATGCCAAAAGGAGCCAGTAAAGTTGGTTTCACTCATTTAGGAAGACCATAAAAATGTAGACTTGGACTGTGGGTTTTTGTTCCCTTGCTTGAAATCACAGGTTTTCTAGAAGCTGAAAGGTTTATTCTACTGACACGGTAAAATCAGAATGCTACAGATACAGGGCATATCCACATTAGATATTAAGCCACACTGTGTGGTTGGTGTGAACGCACGCATCATCTCTTCATTCCTCTGTTAATCACAGCTAACAGCTCTTTGGTTAAATATGCAAATAGGGAGCAGCTGCTGTTTTCGGTTAGCATTCAACTGGCAAATTGCCATTGTTTTTTGTTCTGGTTAGCAATAACCAGAGTGATGGGCTTAACCATAAAGGTACCAATTGCGGATCTGCTGTTAAGATAATTCAACCCAGCAAAACTGGTCTCAAATCTAGGTAGCAGCAAAGCTCCAAACAAAAATAAGAACAATGGCAGAAACAGCACCTTTCATCAAGCAACGGATTTTGCATTGTTTTTCCTAAAAAACAACCTTGTGGGTCTAGACAAAAAAAAAACAAAAAACCCCACTGTCAACCTAGAACTAAGGAGAAATTTCCTAACCGGGAGAACAATTAACCAGTGGAACGGCTTGCCTCTAGAAGTTGTGGGTGCTCCAACACTGGAGGTTTATAAGAAGGGACTGGACAGCCATTTGTCTGGAATGGTATAGGGTCTCCTGCTTGAGCAGGGGGTTGGACTAGAAGACATCCAAGTTCCCTTCCCACTCTGTTATCCTGTTTTGCCCACACACACAAAGTAAGGCAGTATGATTACCCTAATTTGCACATGGGGGTATGGTAGACATATATATATATATAAAACTGACGTTTTTTTGTAGCTGCATGGTTGAGGGAGTGTTAATCCCAGACCCTGGTGTGCTTTGCAACACAGTCTTTAACCAACAACAACACAATCAGCACTCACCAAAAGCCAGCAACCAAATACACCCTGGGGAATTATACTCCTCTCTTTTCTCATCTCGGGAGAACACAAATTGTATGCCCCTTTTAGGCAGAGTATGGAAGTATTGCAAACAGTTAAAGCCATGCCAAACAAAACTCTCTCTCACACACACACCCCATAATACAAATATAAGAGGTTCCCACAGATGTGGAAATTTATCCCAGAGAGGCAAGACACTTTGATTTGCAAATCCACTTCTGAATTATAAGGCCCTCTTCGCACTGTTCATTCTTTTTCTTTTTCTTTTTCGCATTCCCCTAGGAGTCCATTATATATTTTCTATGTCAATGAAACTATCTAAGAAGAAACACATATATATACAGAGAGAGAGAGAGAGAGATGGAGAGAGAGAGAGAGAGAGAGAGAGAGAGAGAGAGAGAGAGAGGGAGGGAGAGAGAGAGAGGGGGGGAGGGAGAGGGAGAGGGAGAGGGAGAGAAAGGAGGAAGAAAAAGAACTAAAAAATACTAGGGTTCAGCATAGAAATATTTCCCTTTTTACATTTCCCAGAAGGGTCAATGAAAGAAGCAGAAAAACCTAGGAAACTGAGTTGAACTAAACCAGATTATTCATTGGTCATTTTGCTACCCTGACTGACAGTAATGAACCAAAGGTTTTCCTAGCTTTATCAACGCCAACTGAGGGATAGAATCAAGGTCACGTGGAGCGTTAATAGCACTTTATAATGACTTGGAAAGACCACACTTGAAATATTGCATCCAGTTTGGTCACCACAATAATAATAAAAAGATGTTGAGACTCTAGAAAGAGTACAGAGAAGAGCAGCAAAGAAGATCAGGGGATTGGAGGATAAAACATCTGAAGAACATTTGCAGGAATTGCAAGTTTAATAAAGAGAAGGACGAGGGGTGACATAATAGCAGAGTTCCAATATCTAAGGGGGCTCCCACAAAGAAGAGGGAGGAGGTTCAACCTATTCTCCAAAGCACTGAAGGCAGGACAAGAAGCAACGGATGGAAACTAATCAAGGAGAGAAGCAACCTAGAACTAAGGAGAAACTTCCTGACAGTTAGAACAATTAGCCAGTGGAACAACCTGGTGAATGCTCCAACACTGGAGGTTTTTAAGAAGAGATTAGACAACCATTTGTCTGAAATGGTATAGGGTTTCCTGCCTGAGCAGGGGGCTGGACTAGAAGACCTTCAAGGTCCGTTCCAACTCTATTATTATTATTGGTGTTGGTATTGTTATGTTGTTGTTTTGTTGTTTGTTGTTGTTGTTGTTGTTGTTGTTGTTATATATCCAAGAGCTTTCCCACCATTCTTAGAAACCCAGGTTCTCCAAATATCTGAAACCCTCTAGATCAGGGGTGTCAAACTGCCGGCCTGCGGGCCAGACACACCATGCGGAAACCGTGCCCACCCCATTGCCGGCAATGGCAAAACTCTCCCGATACGTTGCGTGACGTCATGTGACGTCACGAGTTTGACATGTCTGCTCTAGATTAACGACTAGATTA